GGAATAGTTATTATTATCTATAAGACCATTTGCAGAAACAGTTTTTGTTAACAGTTATGAGTGTAACATTTTTATCAGCTGCTTTGTTTATAGTGCCTTGAGCAACACTTTGCCGGTTTCTGTACAGAAAATGATGCTGGCTTTGCAAATATGGAAGGCCGCTACCATTGAATATAATACCCGCTATGTTACACTTAATTACATAGAAACTTTAATTATCATTGGCATAAAATTCTAAATTCTAGTCAATCATTTAGCCATGTGATAAAACTTTTAAGTGTGCCAGTCAAACATTAATGATGATATTCGGGTCATTATACTGGAAATAGTCTTTTAAATATTTTGTAGTACAATTGATAATCTTCAGTATGATTGACCGTGTATATGACGACCGAAGTCTATGTTATTTTTGATGAAAATTATTATTGCAGATAAAAGCCCTTTCACATTTATTTTAGTCTCGAATTAAATTAATCCAAATGAAAATAAGAACTTTGGCTCTTTATAACTGATCTTTAAATGTAATTTTTAAGATTGTGTTGAAACTCTACTGGTAAAAAAAAAACAAACAAATATATATATATATATATATATATATATATATATATATATATATATATTATAGTTCTTGATGAAAATAAAGTATGCGCATTACATCGCATCCCATCAAGAATTTCTAATGTAATTCTTGGTGTAAAGCTAAGACGTGATAGTAACTGTAAACAATAGAATAACAAAATAATGAAAACATTTGTAAATACTTGCTTTATAACCTAATAAATATTATTAGACCGTAATAAAATAAAACAAGGTAGTCTTCGGCGTGAAAGTAAAAATAAATATTTCGATTATTTTTGCAATATCTACCAGCCGGATCAGCGCGCGATTCTGATCCATGATGCTAAATTTCAGCAAACACTGTCAAATTCAATAGGAGTGACAGAAAAAAACGGTTCTTGATAAAGAAGGGTAAATAAATTATTTAACCTATAAAGTTAAAAAAAATTTATTAATAAAAAATTAACATGAGACACATAATTGTACGAGTGCTTACAATACTTAACATTATTTTACTGAAATCACAGAAAGTTTTTTTTAATAGAATAAGGGTGACAAACGAGCACACAGTCCACCTGATGGTAAGTGGTTGCTACGGACCATAGACATCTACATCTATTCTCGATTACGTATCAAAATTTAGATGCGTTGTCACCCGTGAGAACTAAGATGTAATGCAAAGGTTCTCCGGTTCTCTACACTCACCATACGAAACACTGCAGGGTTAAACTGCTATTTTACATGGTATTCTGTGAGAGCGTGGCCCTTCCCCGGTCAAGCCGACCCATTCGTGCTACAACTATACCTACTACTAATATAGCTGCAGCATGGCTCTACCACGTAAGAAAAAATTGACGTTGAAAATTTAAGTATTTTCAGAAGCAACTTTGCAATTACTTTCTATTGAGTGAATTTTTGTGGAATCGTGTTTTGCAAACCGCCACCTGAAATACGTACAATTTTTTTCGATAACGACGTGAAATTACAAAACGATCTCCATGCATATCAATGTGGCTCTATTTAGCCTCTTAATATGGACATACCTCGGGATTCAGAGATTTTAAAAGTTTTCATGCGTAGATAATGGAAGATATAATATTATATTATTACTGTCCCGTGTGAGGCAACATTTATACTTATATACATATTCTCATCATATTTTTATGGTTGGTTAGAAAAATTATATCTAAATGCAAACTTTCACAGGGTAAATTATTTTATTTACTATTTTTACCCAGCAAGTAGTAAAGCAACTACAATCCCATCGGTAAGTGATTATGTAGCCGAAGTTGGTGAATTGCACTGACTTAACAAAAACCTATTCACTCTTGCCTAATAGTAGAATAAAGGTTGAGTAATACTTCGCTTACCTGTACGAGGTTGCCACTCGAGAACCTTTCTTCCTATTATTTATCGGTTTTCTAAGTTATATAGCCAGCCCATTGCCATTTCACTTTAATATTCCGTTGGGCTATGTCAGTTACTCTGGTTCTACTGCGAATATCTTCATTTCTACTTTATCACGTAGAGAAACCCCTCTCCAATTTAAAATTTTGTCTAACATTAAAAAAAAAACCATAAACCCAATAATGTCTTTATATAGTAATTATTTATACTTAGGGAAGCACCATTTTTTATTTATTTAAATTTTTTGATTTGATTTGATAACAGTGTACCTAAATGTATCTGTATCTATATTTCCCTCCCCAATAATATTTTATAAAGTCATACTCATAAAAACAGCGTTTTATTGTAATACATAATTATAAAATTCAGTATCAACCTAATTAATAAAAATATGCAACAATAAAATTACATAGGTATTAAAAACTATCGAAATGTAAGTAACGAGAGCATGTTGGTCGTTCCACATCTAAATTATATAAAAATGCATTTTTCAATTTCACTAATCAACGTCGCCGCGAAAATTTCTTCTTCTTTGGGCACTTTAAAAATTAATTTATTTAGAAAATAATATTTACAGTTACCAGTGTACAGATATTAACTAAATTAAGTATTTCTAGTCATAAAAATATTTATAATTGGGTATAAACTTTTAAAAAACTAATATATATTTGAAAGAAGTCGCTGCAACACCGACGCGCGATCCAACCTCGACGATGTCCGAAAACGGACTGCGACAGGACGACGGAGCATGCGCGCTCGCGTAAATATATTCAATTTCAGGGAAAAATGATATATTCTCTTATAAAAAGGGGAATAAAAATAAAACTCTCAATTAAAAATATTAATATTTTTAAGACCTTTTTTTTAGTGTAAGAACTATGTAAAAAGCTTGTGCCGTTTTGGAGAAATTTTGCAAAATATGACAAAGATAGGTTTTGGGAATTTTTTTTTAATAAGGGGTTGACAAAAATATAATTTTGTTCAATAAAAAACATTTAACAAATCCTCTTCTAGTACCCTGTATTTTTTCTTTGTGGATTAAATGAACAATTATTGAGATGTTTTTACTTAAATATCCAAGATTTAGGCATTTCAACCACTGTTAAGGTCTTAACAAAAATATATGCGTGTCGTAGTTGTACGCGTCGGAATTTGTCGCCGACGTTCGGCGCTTTTTGGCGCTTATCGGCGCTTTTTCATATAAATGCGTGCGCCGGTTACCTGCGTGGACCGGTTCCTATAAGCGCTGATAGGCTGCCAGCTTTCTTTCTGTATACGGCCTTACATCTGTTAGAAATTTTTGAAACTAGATCAGATACAATACAAAGTAAAAGAAATTCCGCTTAGCTTCGAAAACTTATTTGTTGCTTAGATAACAAATCCGCGACAAAAAAAAAAACAAAATAACTAAAAGGCAAAGGAATTCGACTTGTGACTATTTAGTGTTGATAATTATAACATGGGATGGGCCTAGCTGTCAGATTCGATGTTGCCACTTAACAGACATAAAATCTATAAATGGATATCGTTTTTTTAATCGATTTATAATTTCATAAAAAAGAATAATCTGTGATTCGCTTTAAGTTCTTTTTTCTATAGAGCTTGAAGTTCTGCACGCCTTTTAAAATATGTTTTTTTTTATTTATCTAAATTCCATTTTAAATGTATTTTTTAAGAACAGATAAGAATAACAGTTAAATTGTGCATTAGCGTTTTTGTTATGTTCTAAAGAGTTCGTGGTAAATCAACCAGCAATTTGCTTATGTTATAGAAAATAATTATAGAAAAATAATATTAGCATTATAATAATGACACCATAAAAATCGATTGAAAAAATAGAATCGATTTTTTTAATTGATGGATTTGTAATTGGCAACACTTTTTATTTTATCCACAAAGTAATGAATTGCGGATTTACCTAATTTCATTTTTATCTTTTCGGTACTTTTTTTGTGCAAAAATATATAATATCTTGTTTAGATACATGAATACCGCGATTAATTACCATAAAAAAAAGATGTATTTTTTTAACAAATGCAAATTGTTGAGCGTTTCATGGCTAGAACTGGACATTTCCATTTGCTACATGAATACACAAATAATGAAAATAATAGGAAATGTAATAAATATAAGTAAAATGAAAAAAAAAACACGTACTCTGCCTCCAATCACGCTTTATGGGTGATGATCTGGCAATGTTTATACATGACCTCTCGTCATCATTCGACCTCTCTGTAGCCGCAACGCTAATAACCGACGATGGCCTTACGACACTGAAAAATAATTTTAACCTTATTATAATGTTATAAAAAAGATTTTTTATTTACAAAGTTTCTTTCGTCAATACATGCCTTGAGGTCGGTGCCGGCAGAGGCGGTGGTGGAATATTAAAATATTGCGGAGCCTCTGAAAAACATATACATTCCATTTCAAAATGATTAAACAATGCAGTGATTGGGTCAAATAAGGATAGAGTGCCTTACATTGTTAAATTTAGTTAGTTAACCCTACATATTACATGGGATCATAAAAGCATCAAAAGTATCAAGTACTGAAAATTTTCTACTCTTCCCAAATAAAATTAAATGATGATTAAAACTGTAAGGCCATGAAGTGAGCAGGCGACAACTTTTAAAAATTAAAAAAAGGTTTAGGGCAGCAGTAAACATTTATAGATTGTTACAAACTACAGCTACCTAGACACTTATCAAACTGATTCTTGTACTGAAGTGACACAGTTAAATCTTTATTGGAAACGGAACCCTAAATAGAAGTAGAATATAAATAAATCAATTTCGTAGTAGCTATAAAATTATACAGTTTGATGCTTTTTGTGCATGCCCAAAATCAGAATGTTATTTATTGTGTTTTGAATGAATGGTTCTTTTACATATTATCTAATAACTAACATCACAAATAACTAACATCACCAATAACCACATAAATAATTAAAATATTATAATATCTTTGTTCTTACGATGATCATATTTTAGTTAAATTACACGATTGTTAACTATATTTTTATTGAAAGGACATTAGTGCATACATTTTAAAAAGGTAAGAAGGGCAAAAAACAAAGGGCGTCTTAATGCCAGTCTCATAGATATCTTACCTACTGGAGGCGGTGGCGGCGGCGGTGCTAAAATATTCACCTTTTTATAATGTTTTAATGCATGTGGCGGCAATAGTCCTGTTCTATAGAAATTTTGTTCTTCAAAAACTGTGGCATGAACATATTTACAATTTTGACGAGTGCACACACAATTTTGGAAATTTTTACAGAATACATAGACACCAACAAGTTGTGATACGTCACATTTGTGAATAAATTTGCATTTGGTTCCAGGTCTTGTACACATCCCTCTAATAAAATCCCTGCACATTGGTTTTGATTGACTAGCGTCAGTTTCTTCAGCGGCATTTAATTCTCTTCTTCTTTTCTCCTGGTTTAAAGTTTCTGATTCCTCACCCCCTACTGAGGAATTTTCGGAAACTTTAAACCAAGGGATTTGATATTCAACATCCTCAATTTCCTCTTTAAGTTTTAAAGCTAAATTTGGTTTCTCGTCAGGTGGTGGCGGGCCTAAAGGCAAAGGTGGTTGCACATCTGGCATTATTTTTTTACTACCAACTTTTGAAGGTGGATCTGCTAAAATAGTTGGTGTACTCGTGGTTTCATTATGATCTATTTTCGACTTAATAAACTTTTTCATAATTTCAAGCTTAGATTCTGATAAGGTTTTTCCACACCAGCTCGTGTAAACACAACAGTTGACTCTGTAAATTTAAAGAAGGTAAATGATAAAAAATACATTAAAAAATGTTGCTTTAATGTAACATGTTTATTTATTTATAATGCCATCCTCTCAGAACGTTGGGAAATTTTCATGGATACCTTCCGCCACGCGGGCAACAGAAAGATTATGTCGTACTCTTACCAGCTTAAACCCCACAACAACAGCATATACGATGTTTTACAGCCCGCAGCTGCCCCTGCAAAGGTCGCCTTGGCTGGGGCTCATAGCAGCCTCCTCGACGGGCAGACGCGGGTCGGGCCCAAATGGCCATATGGAAAAAGGTCCTATCATACTAAACTGTAGGAAGAAGGCTAGAAAAATATAGTACGTACCTGTATCCAAATCTAAGATCGCCCCAAGGCTCGGTCAGGCCGTAGGTGGGTGTACGGTGCATGGAAAGTAGTGTTTAGTGATGTGTATGAGTCTGAGACCTGGCCCAGCTGAGGTGGCCGGCAGCGGCCGATTTCCAGGCTGCCCCACAATGCTGCATCTCTCCAGCAGGCTTCCCTGCTGGACCTTTTCTTTCTTCATGTCACTATTTCAGTATATTAACTTCATTGTACATTTAACTAACTTAAGCTTGCCTAATTCCACATTCATCGTAGAATCGAACACGTGATATCCGACACAGTAACGGACAGTAGTTCAAAGTTCAACATTCAATGTCCCGGATTCACTTATCACCAAATTATAAATAGGGAACTAACGCGATCTCTTCATGAGTCACACGGTTCGGCGTTAAACACAACTAAGTTCCTTTGTTCGATACTAAAAACTACGCCGCGATAAGAATTCAAAATCCGCCTCGTTGACACGTAAAACGAACAAAACAGTCAACACATAAAAAAGGGCACTTAACGCGACGGCACAATTGCTTTCAAAGAAGTTACTTTAATCAGTCAAACACAATACAAGCCTCTTGTCAAGAACTTAAACCCTAGACAACCTATAACGAGGCGGTTTTCACGAAACACAATTACGTAGCGAAGTCACGCGCACAATTCCAAATTCTAGACTTTAATCCAAAAAAAACCGGTCTCGCGAAACATCAGCGGCGGGCACCTAAACACACTAATTAACTGCCCAGCCGCCGTCGAGCTACTGCCTCTCTTAGCCCAGCGCCGGAATCACCGGAGCCGGTACACCATCGCCCCCGCACCGCGACTCGCGTGACACCTGGTGCCATCGGGCGGTTCACGAAGTCGAACGTGATTGGAAGACGTACAAATTACCTTTTTTGGGCCTAAACACGATGGGTTTCGGGATCTCCGTTCGAAAGGCAAGTTATCCAAAATTGATATGTATGTGTGTAGCACTTTATGTTAAGTTTTTACTAGGTCCTGATTGATAATTATAAGTCACTTAAACTTAACGATGGGTTCTTTGAGTTTTTTTTAAAAACGTTACCTAGTACCACTAGGATTTTCTCCTGTATCGTGGAGGCAGTTTACAAACATAAATTGCACGAGGACAAACATCCAGACCCGGAACAATATTATAGTTGTAGGTTATACAAATACTTCTTCCGTTCGGGAATCGAACCCGCAGCCCCCAGCGCATCAACTCATTGCTAAGACACTACGCTACGGAGCCGTCAATAGGTTATCCCTATATTGGCTCTTGTAAAATTAACTTTAAATAGTCAAATTACTACATTTAAATCCGGCAATATATGTCATAGATACATCTTTTATTAAGTGATATTAAAGGTTTAAAACACGATACATTGTACTTTGCTCTATCGAAAAAAATATCTGAAATAGTGTCGATTTTAAAATATTTTTTGTTATACATCGTAATTATAGCATGAAATTATATTAAACTTACACTTACTTAAAGGTATTTTTTTTAATTCAATAGTTTTTCAATTTTAGTAGTATAGTCGTAGCACGAATGGGTCGGCTCGGCCGGGGAAGAACCACGCTCTCACAGAATACCAGCGTAAAATAACAGCTTAACACTGCTGTGTTTCGTATGGTAAGTGTAGAGAACCGGAGAAACTTTTTACTGAAAAAAAGACATTCCATCTTAGTCCTCAGGGGTGACAACGCATCTGCATTTTGATTATTTATTGAGGATAGATGTAGATGTCTATGGGTCACATCAACCATTTACCATCAGGTGGAATGTGTGCTCGTTTGTCACCGTATCTTATAAAAAAAAGTTTTGTTAATAATTAAAAATTTAAATAGTAAAACGGCTCATGCGGAAAAACGCGCCTCACTTTTAGTGTCCAGCCGGACATCGCTAAGGTTGGACCTACGTCAAGTTTCTTTAGATACGCTCCCTGCGCTTTTGAAAAATGGCATATAAAAAAAACTAATAAAAAGATATCAAATTTGAAAAACAAAAAAGCATCTAGGGACTACAGTAGCATATTCTAAATAAATCAATACGACCATTATTGTTTCCGAAAAAGTATTTCTATGAAGATTTTGTAACAGTATAAGCGTACAGTACGACCATTATTGTAGCCGAAAAGTTATTTTAGTAAGTATATGTAAACAAATAATACAGACTGTATCGATTACAGAGCACCCATACCACATGAGTAAAGAAACCGTACAGGGGCAAAGCTTCTAAGGAGCTGTCAAAATTTATACCTATGTTAGCAGGGTTGGCACAAGAGGATAAATTTAAATAAACAAAACGTTCGTCAGCTTTTATTATATACATAAGCTAGAATATTTTTTATAAACTACTTATTCTAAATATTTTATTTTATAATTTTTGTTCTTCAACAATTTGTTGTTCCTTTTAATTAAGTGGTAAATTATGAATCTAGTGTAAAGTTTTTTTTAAATAATCTATTGGAAAGTACTACAAGCACACGCACCAAGTTTGGAAAACACAAAAGTACACGCCTCATAACCGTTTCATTTAATTTTTATGAAAAAAAATAAAAATAGTGACGACAATTTTTACAAGAAAAAAAAATAGAGAAGCTGAGTTCAATAACAAAAATAAATTGGGGTCCTCCTTAGTACATATGGAATCTTATTTAATACTATATATTGCTTACATTTCTGTTAAGTGAGAAGACTCACCGATGCGACGCATATGACCAACGGACGGCAGTTCATATATATTTCTTCAATTACATTTTACCATTACCCTATATCATCCCGTGGGTGTCGTAAGAGGCGACAGAGGGAAAAAAGTTAGGTGATGGGCAGCAGCGTCTCCCTAATAACGACTAAAAATAAAAATATTACTGTGGTTGCCATACCGTTAGGTAATCGTGGCAACTATGGCAAATATCGCCCCTTGAAGCAATCTATGGGGGAGACCTCTGTTCAGCAGTGGACTTTAATAGACTGAAAGCGTAACGGAACAACCTACCTTTGTTTCATTAATAGAATTAGTTGATCATTAAAACTTCCATAAAGTGATATTATTATATGTAAATTTTATGCTATAATAAAAGTAATCATTACAGCCCTTCACAAGTCCACTACTGAACATAGGCCTCCCCCAAGGAATGCCACAAAGCGCGGTCCTGAGCCACCTGCATCCATCGACTTCCTGCATGTCTCACCAGGTCGTCACTCCATCTAGTGGGGGGTCGCCTTACACTTCGCCTACCGGTACGAGGCTGCCACTCGAGAACCTTTCTTCCCCATCGGTTGTCGGTTCTTCGAGCTATGGCCGGCCCACTGCCACTTCAGCTTACTAATCCGTTGGGCTATGTCGGTTACTCTGGTTCTACTGCGGATGTCCTCATTTCTAAGTTTATCACGCAGACACCCGGAGCATAGCCCTCTCCATAGCTCGCTGAGCGACCTTGAGCTTCCTCATACGGCCTCATAATAAAAGTGAACAATAATGAAATGTAAATCTGAACTACGAAATAAAGAAATCCTATTAAAATAGAAAAGAATCAATTCAATTACTATAGTATTCAATTCCGTTGATCTACTGCAAATATCTATACTGTGGCGTGTATTTACCGCACGGAGTCCGTATATATTTATATAGAGTAATCTACTGTATATAAAAATATATAACATCAACTACATCTTGATAGCACAAATTATCTTGTTTCAATAACTCGTATTGCATTTTACTGTCACATACCGCATACAAGTCTAGCAAGTTACATTCTTTCTAAGTCAGTAAATTACATTCCGAACGTAGTTTTCATAAATGAGCAATGTATTCTGAAGCACCTTTACCACTTTTTTAATTGCAATTATAAAATTTATAAGACACAGATATTTCATTAGGTTTTGGGTTGTAATGATTTGTTAAAATTATTTCTATTTCACTGAATGTCATATCAACCGCTTTTTCTGGAGTAATTAATACAAGTAATGTCTCGTAAAATCACACACTGTGAAAAGATTTGCTCTTTTAGCTGAATTTAATATGACGCAGTTAGTCTCAAAACAAAATTTTAAATGGTCTAGATTATTGCCCCAACTATCTGTTTGTCGATTGTACTCATCGAATTTCACTGATTTTATGTCCATTTTTGACACTTTTCGCCACACGTCGTTACTAATGTGTTCAGAATATCGCCTCTTTTCTCTTTTGTGAAAAGAGAATACAACTAAGGATTATTTTCTTTCTGCACAGGACGAAGAGCTGAAAGTTCTTGCTCTAAAACTATAAAATACAGTGCCCAATTTCTTTTGATGTGTTATATTATTTAAAACTGGTTTTAAAACAAAAATTGACTGTAAAGGAATTAGGGGGAAGACCAAAATGGAGGGACGATCATTACCATAGGAAAAGGGTAACATTCTTCATGAAAGAAGGGAAGCCAGGGCAAGGGAATAGACTGCCAGGTCTACTGCACTTTTAGGATTTTGGTAAGGAAATACTAAATGGGCAGGTGAACCATCGTTGAGACGACAAAGATCAAATAAAAATTGATGTCAAATAATAATTTAAAATTAAAAAATTTGTACAAC